TCAGAGTTCTGGTACTTTTTTCTTCCCCCAAGAGCATTTCAACCAGATCCACAGGGGTCCTAAGAGACTCAAGCATTAATGGCAGAGTCTGTCTTGGGTCTGACAGACCGAGTGACGGGAGGTTGGGAGTTCCTTAGCCTCAATCATCAGTACTGAGCACATACTCAAGTCCCTTAGAAATCCTTTTTAGTTAGAAGATGCTTTTCCAGAAGGATCACCTAGGCTGTGCCTATGGCTATTCCCCTGCATTTCCTCTCACTGTAGCAAGCATTACTGAGTCTCAAGGCTCTCTAAAAGACATGGTTAGCTTGGCGAAAGCAAATTCTGCTTTCTTCCCATTGGTGCTCTCTGGGGTAGAGCAAGGGAAGGGAAGGAGAAAGGACACACACACAGAGTTACAGTCCTGATCCAAGCAGCGGGAAGGATGGAGATGATTACTGCGTAAGGATGAGCTAATTCAGGCGCACTTCTTCACCAGCTTCTGCTTTGGTTCTTAATACTTGGCTGGTTCCTAAGTATCTAGTTCTGCACCCTTTAGCTAGAGTAAGGCTTAAGTACAGCATGAGTCTACGTGCTTATATTCTGCCTTGCTTCACTCCAGTATTTAAAATAGCGCTCTAACTGGAGCCAAGGAAGCGGCAAGGTGTGGGACCAGTGACAGAAGAGCAGGAACACCACAGCCAGCTAAGAAGCCTACGTGACACTGTAGGCCTTCGGAAACCAGGCAGCTATTTGATCCCTGATCCCAGGCCACCCACCCAGCAGCAGCTGTTCCTGGGGTCAGGGTTCCACAACTCACTTGCAGGAGTTCGGCAGCGCTGTAACGCTAAGGGGCCAGCACCTGGTTTGGCCCCAAGGGTATCGGTCAGTGGAGCAGTCTGTTACGACAGGAGAGACAGGCAACACCCTCCCCGCCCCCCACCACCACCTCTGCCCCATGGTTCCAGAGCTCCTCCTTTCTCAGCGGGGAGCCGGGCTGGTGGCCAAGTTCTTTCCATGGAAGACCCAGTAAAAACCTTGTGAAAGCACCTCAAGAAGCAATAACCCTTGTCTCCTCTCCTCTCCACCTTCATTTTAATCTGCATTCAGAAAAGTGGGTTCAGGTTGAAGGTTCTGCTCTATTGCTACCTTGCTGAGTGGTCTCCAGCACAGATGCCTGCTATCTGGTTACCTAGAGCACTGCACGCTGCCCTTGCTGGATTTCCTCTCATTGCACAAGCAAGCAGGCAAGCAGTGCTTGTAGGAACTTGGTAAAGCAATTGCGTAGTAATTATTTTTAATGAAGGGTTGGGGACCACCTCATACACAGGGTAATGCTCCAGGAGTAGTAATTTGGCAGCCAACCACAGTGTGAACATGCACACAGACTAATCACCCATGATAGAAACGTTACCAGTAATAATTACAGTTTTATGTGCATTTTTGAGTTCACTTGCTGACTCCTTTCCTCAGCCCTTCACGAGGGAGGCTGGATTTTTTTTTCCCCAGATACACAAGGGAAGTAGTACTGTGCTGTAACTAGTCACCTACCATGTACAGTCGAGGAGAGTGCACGAAAATTGTTGTGGAAGGAGCTTCGGGAGATCGTAGAGTCCAATTCTGCTTAAAACAGGGTCAGCTACAACAGGTTGCCCAGGGCTGTGTGCAGGCAGCTTTTCAGTAGCACCAAGGATGGAGACCCCACAACCTCTCCAGGCAGCCTGTGCCAGCGCTAGACCATCCTCACAGTGAAAACAGTTTCTTCCTCTGTCTGAACGGCACCTCCCGTGTGTCAGCTTGTGCCCATTTCCCCTTATCCTGTCGCTGGGCACCTCTGAGAAGAGCCTGGCTCCGTCTGCTTTGCTGCCCCCCGCCGTCAGGTGGGATGGGTACGCACACGGGTAGGATCCCCCTGAGCTGCCCTTCTCCAGGCTGAGCGCTCCCAGCTCTCTCAGCCTCTTCCCGTCTGTCAGATGCTCTGAGCCCTTTCCTCACCTGTGGAGCCCCTTGCTGGACTCTCTCCACTAAGTCCATCTCTTGTACTGGGAACTGCAGCAGTGGGCCCAGCCCTCCAGCTGTGTCTCACCCCAGGGCTGAAAGGGGAAGGATCACCTCCCTTGACCTGGCAGCAATGCTCTGCCTGTTGCAGCCCCAGAGGCTGGTGGGCCGCCTTTGCCCTTGTGGGCACGCTGCTGGCTGGTGGTCAGCTTGACCCCCAGGTCCTTCCCTGGGGATCTGCTTCCCAGCCCGTGCTGGTGCTGGGGTTCTTCCTGCCCAGGCGCAGGAGGTGGCATTGCCCTCTGTTGAGCCGCACGAGGTTCCTGTTGCCCACTTCCCCAACCTGTCCCGGTCCCTCTGGGTGGCATTGCCCCCAGCTGGTCTACCAGCCACTCCTCCCCACTTTGTGTCATTGCCAACTTGCTGAGAGCGTGCTCTGACACATCATGCATCTTAACACTGAAAAATAGCACCATTTTCCAGTCCCGGGTGGTAACAGAAGTATGCATCCAGACAGCGTGCAGTGGGACTGTGGGTCTTCACTTTCACCTCGTGGTAAGCAGGCCTCTGTACAGCTCGCTCCCATTTAAGCGATTCAGAGAGTTGGCCTTCTTGAGAAAAAAATGTTACCTTCAAAAACTGGGGAAGCAGGCATCGGGAGCTCAAAAACAACTAGGCAAGAGGCTTACTCTCCATCTTAACTGCTGAGTAGTCTGCAGAGCTTTTGTTTTTTTTTAAAAGCACTGTAGCTTTGCAAAACAAGAGAGAAATTGGCATCAGTATAAAAGCAAAGCTAAAATTCTGACTTTTAACCTTAGTTACAAGAGTTGGGTGGCTGCCATGACAAAAACATGAATCAAAAATCCTGAGAGTCACAGCACAGCTGATTATTTTTTCATTTACTTTAGAAGTACCCAAACGTCTCAATTTGTAAAGACAGAACTGCCTCCTGAATCCGTGTAGGAAAAAAAACGTATTATTGAAAAAGTTCATATAAAAATAATGTATTGTTTCAAAGCATGCTATGCTGTTCTTGAGTTAGATGGTCTTTATCTCTAAACACACCTTCATAAAAGCAGCTGGCAGAAACACTGTTTTGTGAATGGACTTGATAAAAAGATACTGCCCGCCTTTGTTTACAGACAGCCGACTGATGTTCCACGGAACACCAAGTACCAACAAGCTGGAAGTGCAAAATCCTGACAAATGATTAACAATAAAAGGCCTAACTCTCTTCTTCCTTCCTGTAAGAAAAATATTTGAATTAAGTAGGATTTGGCAAAATTCCTCTACCTCCAAACAGCACCTGTAGAAATCAAATTAACAAATGCCAGTCATGTTTACATCTCACATCATTAAGTTTCCATCTTACTCCCATTTTGTACTTTTAGGTAATAATATTCCAATTTACTGGAGGTCACATGACACAATGAAGTTGGAAAGATGCAACAGCAGTTGTCTCACTGTAACAGCAATTTTATGTCCCTCCCTAGATGCCCTGTTGCATAGCATCACAGAATGGTTTGGGTTGGAAGGGATCTTCAAAGATCATCTAGGGCAACGCCCCTGCCGTGGTCAGGGACACCTTCCACCAGACCAGGTTGCTCAAAGCCCCCTCCAACCTGGCCTTGAACGCTTGCAGGGATGGGGCATCCACAGCTTCTCTGGGCAACCTGTGCCAGTGCCTCACCGCCCTCAGAGTGAAGAATTTCTTTCTTCCATCTAATCCAAATCTACCCTCTTTCAGTTTAAAGCCATTACCCCTTGTCTTATTACCACATGCCCTTGTAAAAAGCCCCTCTCCAGCTTTCTTGTAGGCCCCCTTCAGGTACTGGAAGGCTGTTATAAGGCCTCCCAGAGCCTTCTCTTCTCCAGGTTGAACAACCCCAACTCTCTCAGCCTGTCTTCAGCCTCCTCCTTGAAAAGGTACAGTTATGCTCACACTTAAAATGCTCGCTCCCTTGCAAGCCAGGTTGCTACACAGCAGCTTCCACGAAGGTAGTGCTAGGACTGCTTTGTTACTTCACAAGCCAGACTCTGAAGTAGTTGAGTACGTCCCGAGGGACATACCTTACAGTTGCTACTTAGCACCGAGTTTATTTCCATTTTTAATAAAATCTGCCACTAAAAAGGGAAAGCCCTGCTCTTTCTAGTAAGGTGGTATTTGTAAGCCAAAACATGAAGTGCAAAACTCCAAGGAGATTTACCATCAACATGCAAGCTGGCGTTTTGAAACAGGAGACCTGTGACTTTGAATACTGCTACCTTGGATTTAAGTAAAAGCAGTAAAATCTACCCTGTAGAAGGAAAGCCCCTTTAGTTTTGAGAAATTTTTTATTTCTACAAAGTACCTGTGCCATAGAAGCTTTGAGAAGCAAAAGACGACCAAACCCATCCCTCCATGAAGACTTTATGGCTGGCCGTTTTTGTCCCCGCCAGCCCCCTTCTCCCTGTCCCACACTGTAAGAGGCATCCAGCATGGGGCCTCCCACGGTCCCACAGCCAGCTCCAGCCCCACGGGGCACGCTGCCTGAGGGAAAGCCCCAGGGCAGCTCCAGCACTCACTGTGTGCTGCAGGCAGTCGCTTTCTTGGCAACTGCTAGAGGCTTTCACCTGAACTCTTAACACAGTTTAGAAAAAACTCCACAGCTTTTTGGGTTAGGGCAAGGTCAAGATCACTTTGCTTTTCGCAAGCAATCAGACGTTTCTGCCTCATCCTGCTGCTTCCGTTCAGGCAGAGGTGGGCAGGCTTTAAACGTTTCAACAACCTGGGAAAGACTCCTGCAAACTGCCAGCGCCTGCCGCCCCCGGCGAGCACACGCACTGCTTTGGGGTGCTGCTAATGCAGTTAAACACAAGACACCGTAACTTTGCCATTTTACAGTCAGAAAACCAGTACAAAGCTCCATGAAATTAACAGAAGACTTAATTAGGTTGAAGACATACTTGAGCAGGTGATCAAAAAGCCAGGGGAGGAACAACCAAACCCACATCTAAGAGAAGCATGTTGTTTGAGTCTAAAATTAGTCTCCTGGTTAGGAAAATCTTAGGCCATATCTTCATCAAAGGGACAGCTCATATGAGGCCAAGCTGTACATTCCCCAATGACACATGTCCCACAAGGTCTGCACGAAGGAATCACCCTGCAAAGTAGGTTCTGAACTCTGGCACCTCTAATAAACGTACTCTCTACAAAAACTATTACCGTTTCTGGCGCTGCACGTACTCGGGAAACAAGATGATCCCCATCTTCTGGGTATTTGAGGAAGACAGACTTCAGTAACTGGCTCAAAAAGTTGACAAACTTTAGATTCTGTCAAGTAAAAAGACAGTGCGGTCCAGTTATCAGACAGCATGGCCAGCACTTTGTAACTACGCTTACAGCAATAGGAAAAGGCAGCCTATAAAGAACATCAGTGAAGATAAAAAAGCCTGAAGCTGTAGGAACAGCACCAAACGTCACTGAGCTAACAGACTATCTTTCTATAGAGAGAAAAGTCTGGAATTAGTGGACAAGAGGCTGAGAACCAAAGTGGGTTTGTCTTACTTGTTTCTAGCAGAATTAGGAGTAACCAGGCTTGTTACCAAAACAGGGTAAGTGAGCTGGAAACCATTAATTCTACCCTGTTCATCACAGATCCTTTCAAGTGCCAGTTTTTACTTTGCTGTGCACAAACGTGTACGCTAGCTACCGTTTCTTCGGAAGTTGAGGCACACATGCCCACACAGCTGCATAAATTACTTAAAAGTCATTGCTGGGATGCCAAGACTCCCAAACAGCAACAACAGAAATACACATTTCAGTATCCTATTAAATCCAGTTCTACAAGCAGTACTAAGTTTAAATAATGCTTACAAGCAGGAGAAAAACCCCACCGATGTTTATTACTTTTGAACTGTAGGCAGTACGTGATGCTGCTCCCCTCTGAACTGCAGCTCACGTACCGGAGTTTTAAAGGACAAGCTTCTGCTTTTACCTGAAGACAGAGGGGGAAAGAACTGGTATTTCTAGATTAGTATGAACTCTGTAAATAAACATGTGCTGTCACCATAAAGGAGCAGGTGAAGCATCTCTGTCTCCTAAGCAGTTTAAAGCACTGTCACTGACCTATTAAAGAAGCTGTTGTTTTTGTTACCAGCAACTACGTGAAACTTCAATATGCGAGTCATGAGGTAAATATACAGCACTGGAAGACATAGGGCATCTAGGCCTGGTATGTAACTCACCTTTATAAATGACATTCACCAGTCAGATTTGCTGCAGTAGGAAGACAGATAATGACCTCTTGTGTCAAGAAAACATCAGATACTCCAGACTAGTTTGCCCGTATGGAAGAACTTTCAACGCTCCAAAATACATTAACATTTTCATTGTCCCCACAACTCGTCCAATCTAATGTGTACTCAAAGGAGATTGGGAATCACATGAAGGAAAACATTACTCCACGCAAAAGGGCACGCCAATGGCAAAGAATACATAGGGATATATACTCATATTCACAGCTGACTTCAGCCCGAAGTTGCGCGTTGCTGACAACAGCAATAGAGACCACAAAATGCATCTAGATGAGTTCCAAATACAGCTAATTTCTAAGCCAAAGACTGGCACTCTTGCAAACAAATCACACCACACATCTTTACTGAAGTCACATTCTGTCCTGCAAAGAGTTGATGACTTCTTGCCCTGTATCCCAGCACTGACAAGACTATATAAATAAGCATTAAAAGGCAAAGTTTCATATTAAGGGTAAGACAGGTCCAGATTCAGGAAAAGAAATGGCAAAGCAAGTTTGTAAAATATTTAATAGAGTGGGTTCCCAGCAGACTCCTGACCAGAATCATAACCAGACTGCTAAAAAGTATATGTATTTTTAGATCTGAAAATTTGTCTTTATTTTTTACAAAATGGATTCCAGGAAGTTTAAAAGGCAGTATCATAGAGGACTTGGGCGCAGAAATCAGGTGTAGTCATTCAAAGCATTCAAGTAGGAATATGGTAATATAAATATTTGAAAAGCATCTTTTATCATAAGTGTTCAAAACAAAATGTATAACTCATTCCAAACTAAAAATTGAGCTTTATAGCACGTATTTCCCTGAACAGAAAAAATAAGTAACTTTTGAAATATTTCTAAAGGCCTGAAAGCTTTTTCCTGGGTTAGTTACATTAGGAGACTTGCCTTTGATTAAATTCCTTCCTTTCCAAATATGGAAGGTATTACATCAGTCCACTGTTAAAACAGACAATGTGTTGCAAATTAATTCTTGTATAGTATGTTCCAACAAAGCCTAGAGTATAAAGGTGCTGAGGTGGCTTTGAGTTTAGTAGTCATCCCCTCTGCTGACAACCTCCTTGCACGTTGGGCGCAACAGTATAGTGTGCTCAAACTGCGCTGTGTATGAGCCTTTAATGTCGCATAAGGGAGGATATGGATCCACTATACCCAAGTCGCACAGGTTCTTCAATGCCATTAGGTATTTACTCTCTCCCAGGCGATCTAGCCATCTGCGGCAGAAGGCAAGAGTACCAAAGTTTTCATTGATAACGTTTAGCAAGTGTTTTGCTCTTGGAAGCCTGCAGAAAAAAGAAGAATATGTTTGAGAAGAAAGAGGTATCACCAGCAAGCGTTCACTACAGAAATAAAACACACCAATTAAGAAAAAGGTTGGATTTCAAGTTATTTTAAGACACTGTGGGATGTCCTTCTACACCAATCAGGTGTTCTATTCCCAAAAGAAAGTGCATTTTCCTCCTGCAAAAAGATACCCTTCAAAACAAATCTGAATGCTGCCAAACACAATGGCCATCCATTTCAAATAGGGGAAGTTAAGACTGTGAACGTATCTGCATCTAACTATGCAAGCAAAACTGAGCACAGTGACAGGAATCAATCCCTTAAATAATAAAAGAGGACGATTCATTTCATAAAAAAAAACCCCAGAATTCTTCCTCATCTAAAGTGGTTAATAATATGAACTAATTTAGGTGTAAGTTTGTTGGCTTAAAATTCTGAAGTTTTACTTCTGAAGTCAAACACTTGGAAAGCTTTTTATCCATCCTTCTTACAGTACGTAAGCATAAAAATTAGGGATTTACAGATCTGCTAAGAAATAAACTTATTTCCAAACATAAGCAGTTCCTTTCCAACCCTTAGGTTAATTCTCTACCCCCTCACCTTTTTCATATTATTAGATTGTTCTATGAAGACAAGATAGCACTATCTGGAAAAGCACATCTGCCTGCTACATTTCTAACCATAATAGCCTTCACTTCAGAAAATATGCTGCACTCCTAGAAATGCCAAAATACAATCCCAGTGAAACTGAAAATTAATAATCTATTTCATTTTATAGCAATACACTGAAACAAGAACTTAAACCCCATAAAATATGCATACAAACAAAAGAGGTTACATGAATAGCTTGATATATTCTGGGACTAGCACTAACACAAGGATTGTGGCACACAACCATAATAGAGATGCTGATTAAAAAAAAGTATTTAATATATAGAAGAACATTAAAAAAAAATCTAGATAATAATTATTGAAAATTACTAATGATAGGAAGATTGTTAAAAAAAATGTAGATTTCTGAAGACATAATAATGCATATTCTCCACTTCCAGATTCTTTGGAATAATGCCATACTGTTACAGATTTACAAGCATATTTCATAAGAAGAACATTGCTAACACCACCCTTTAAGTCCTCTGACAGCCTTATTAATTAGTGAAGAACCTGCATTGTATCAAATTTGAATCCTAAGAGGGTGGTAGCTCTAGCACAATATACCAACAAAAAACAACAATAAAATCCAACCTTATTGGCACATGCCCAACATCAAAGTTCTTCATGTAATGAGAACACTCCATATCATCATGAACAACACCCTTTCCTGTGCTCCCAAAGGTTTCTATAGCATATACTTCACCTTCCTAAGGAAAAAAAAAAAAAAAAAAAAAAAAAAAGAACATGTTGCAATATGAAAATAAGTGACACTAGGCCATTCTGATGTAATGGTCTCAGCATAACAACTTCTGAATACAACTAATTAAACGTGAATAAAGTCAATCACCAAATCAATGTAGAGAAAAATTCTATATGGAGATTTCACACAGTAAAGTTACAGACGTCTCCAAATCAGCTATTTATCTTAGTACCATTTCATTTGTTTCAAGCCATAAATATCAGCACGTTTCTAGTCACAATTTCCAAAGTCATTGCAGTTAAAATATTGTCAAAGCATACATCTAACATAGCTAAGAAACTACATTCTGCTGCAAAACATTTGCTAAATGGCAGTAATTGTCCTTTGCTATTCAGATAGAAGTCCTAGGAAATGTATAGTTTAGACATAGCAAATAGATGTTGATTACAAAGACTTACTGCACTGAAGAACTTTCTGCCCCATTTCTGCAAGAATTTTCTGGTAACAGCTGCTAGTATAAACCCTTAACCTGCTCATTTCCACTCCACAAGATGAATTTCTTCAAGAAATGAAGGTGATCTATATCTGCAAGGGCATTATCAAAATTCTAGCCAAGAACATACTGAAATGCCATTATATAAACTCATTTCTGCCAAGTGCATTCACATACCCTTAACGGTAGGACTGTGAAAAGGACTTAATAAGATAGGGCATCAAATATTAACAGGCAGCAGGAGCTGGGTTTTTCAGTTTATTAAGCTACTTTGAAAGTCACAATCCAAAAATAAGAAGCCATATGAAAAGCAGTAACATAGGCTTCAAATTAAAGACAAACTCTTAAAAGATTCCCCTGAATATTCGACTGATTTCATTTAAAAAAAAAACCCAAAACCCCCAAAACCAAACACAAACCCACAAAAACCCACACACAATGCCACAAAAAAAATTCACTTTACACCCACTTTTTCAGAATAAGGATCATCAGAGGCTATATTTCTCTCCCTCACAAAAAAATCACTGGATTGCAGTTTGATACTATAATTAGCACAGTACAGTAAGAGCTTGGCTATGCTCCACGTTCTTCATTGGCAAAGCTCACTGCCTTTAACGATGTAGGATTGTGTCCTAAGTAACCTACAGAAGCTGAAGAAATTAAAAAATGTCTTTTCCCCAGCGTCTGGATATTCAGTTAAAACAATGTCAAAGCTCTGAAATTTTTAAGTAAGATTTGCTTAAAGAACACTTAAGTTTTATACTAGTAGTATACTGATGATGGATGATATACAAAACCTAACCATTCACTAAGCTGAAACAAGAAGGGCACACAAGCTTTTTCTACCTTCCTTTTCCAATACTTTTTAATCCCTCTGCACACTCCTATGGATAAAATGATAGTTAAAACTTTGTCTTTTTGCTCACATCGTTAACAAGGTGATCAACAATTACGATACAAGTTTTGGGTGATGAGATTGAGCCTACCTCAAAAAACAATCCTGTCCAGCCCATACCTGTCCCCACTGAGCTCTTACTCCAACAGGCTTACTAGTCATCATTGCTGATCAGTGATCAGGCTTAGAATGAAATTAAAAGCTTCTTATCTTGTTATCAATCTTACAAATAAGCCTTCTTATCTTGTTAGAACACAAGCTTACATCAAAATGGTGCCTAAATCTCAGGTTAGGTATTTTAATATTGCCTTGCTGACTGGTATAGTTGCCACATCACGTACAGCAATTTCTCTTCCCCTGCTCCAACATGCTATTCAAACAACATCTTTCATCTAGCCTCTTGCATTAACTAGAAATATGCTTAATTATTTTGTATCTGCAAAGAAAAACGGCACTGGAAGCTTTTCAAGAAAGAGATCATATCTAACTGTACTTGCAAAAAGTCATCCAAAGCTAAAATACTGCAGAAATACTTCTCAAGAATTACCTGAGCAAGGAAAGATTGTTATTTTGTCTTTTTAATTACACAGTGAACAAACAAGGAAACTGCGAATGACTGGCAAGTCCAAACACCTGTCACGAAAACTCTGGTCCCTCAAGTTCACCCCAAAAATCTGAATTCCTGTTCTCTTCCCTGCTCTTAAGTGCAACATTCCCAAGTGCAACATTCCAAAACTGCATTTAAGTAACATACCCACACTGAGAAATAAAACATGCAAGAGTTTCTGTAAGCGCCACTAAGGCCATTTAAATCTCAAAGGTTTTTTTTTTTTCCTGTTTGGTGGGGTTTGGGGTTTTTTTTTGGGTTGTTTTTTTCTGGTTTGTTTTTTTTTTTAAAGCAGGGTTCCAAGGCTTCAGTTTCAGAAAGTGTTAGATACCAGAACACTCCAGGGATAAATGGAGAAGCCACCGAGACGAAACAAGAGTGATCACTCCTTTACAGGAACACTACAAAATACAGCAAAGTTTTTCCTCACTGCTATTATCCACCAGGATCACAAATACTACACATTAGGACTGCACAGGAAATATTATTCTTGCAGTGACAGCTGGGGAAACTTAACAGAAAGATTTAAGAACTCCATTTACCTCCATTCTTGTGGCTTCTCCTCCTTTCACAATGGGTACCGTTTTTCCCGCATGTATCCTATATGGCCCAATCGAGTGTCCATTCAAATTGCGAATTGGTTTCACTTTTGAAGAAAACATCAACATTACAGGCAATTTCCTAACATGTTAAACCCTTTCAAGCAATTTTGGTTCGTTAGTCCATACTGAAAATACAGTAATGACTCATCATAGCGTAGAGGAATTAAACACAAAACTATCCATGCATCTTGTACAAATTCCAGCCAAGACACAGGTCAGTTTTGTACGCTATATCAAAACTCCATTATTAAAGACTAGCAACTCCAACAGTAACAAAAGTTTATTAATAAAGCCAAACAGCAGGTATGAAATAATTTGTACATTTTGAAACAGTTGTTTAGCCTTCATCTTATCTGTTAAAGATACAATACTTGGAAGGATAAGCCAAGAACATTCCTCTAGAGGAATGGCAAGCCAGCCAGAAACACATATTTATGCTAGTCACTCATACCATGCTCCTAGTACAGAGGTCTTTTCAACATGATACAAATAAATCAATATTTGTATAAATACATAAACTCTATATCCTTATATAAAGAAAAGAACTTGCCTTGGTACGTTTTGCCATCAATTTCAACTTCATAAGATTCCATAACTTCTTGTATGGCCTCCCCCACATCACAGAGACGTACATCTATTCCAGCGCACTGAAAATAAAGTGCAAATATAAATGGAAAATAATCGCAAAGTTTCCTGTAGAAGACTTGGTAAATGACTTACATAATGACCATACCTTTATTCCAGTATTTGTGGCATCCTTTACAGCTTGTAATAGTCTGTCATATTTTGGATTGAACGTGACTGTAAAAGCACAGTCAATAATACGACCTGAAATTAGCAGAAGTTAATTAGCTTCATAGTCTTTGCACTGAAGAATATTCTCAAAGTTTTAATTCATAAATGAAAACTAACCACTAATATGTGTCCCAAAATCTATTTTGCAAATATCGTCGTACTGCAGGACTGTTGGATCTCCAGCATTGGGAGTGTAGTGGGCGGCACAATTATTCAGAGAGCACCCAGTAGGAAAGGCAAGACCTGCATTTAAACCATTTTCCTTTATCAGCTTACGTGAGCAGTCTTCTAGTTTTTCACTAAAAGGTAGACAGGAGGGAGAAGAAAAAAAAGAACATAATAGCTGTCATTAATATTTCTTCTGATGACTTCAGATAAATCAATCCAAGACCAAAACTTCAGAAAAAATATTCAAGCACATGTTTTAATCTGAAATCTTAAATTACTTGTACGCTAACTTGAAGGAGACCCTAGACTGGAAAATAAGTGTAACGTAACGATCTTCCGTTCTTGGTGTTGTTTCTTCTACTCTTTCTTGGGCAAAATTGAGTAATTCATTAGTGTTTTTACTCTAAATTTAAAATATCCATCTTTTACAAGCTACACTTAACCCATTCTTCCTAAAAAAAATTCTAGTTAAAGAATGATAATAACTTTTTTTAATTTAAGTGATAACTATGATAAAATAAAACCTTGAGACTAGCATTTGTTCTTGATTTCTGTCTACTCTCAAGCTGTCAGCTACTGGAAAGGTACAGATACACATCCAGCAGTGCACACTCCTATAGTGGCAGTGAACAATGTAAACTGCAGCTCACATCAATGCACCATACTCTGATTTTACTTTAAAAGCCATTCCCTCAGAGCAACCAGGAAAAAGAGAAGAGCTTATTTTAATAGGCAAGTCCCCATAGGCTGAGATACTTTAGGAAGAAAAGTCATGTTTTGAGAAAATTATTGCTTGTAACTGTAACAGTCAAAGTGTGTAATTCAATATGACAGATTCGTTTCAGCCAGACTAGTGATTATTAAGGCAGCTGTCTTTCTTCCACTTTCCCTGATGGTGTATTGTTTCCGTTACCCTCGCACAGTTACCTTAGGGATCAGCTCTGATTAGCTTACTTTCTATCCTACTCTTGTCAGCACCATCCTCAGTCATACCAGGCTGAAAGCACCTGATTTTGGAAGCTAAACTGAGGGACAGAAAACAGAATAGTTGGAAGATTCGGAGAATCAGTCTAGGCTAATTGTTTCTTTAAACTTTACCTTAATCAAACTCATGTTTATCTTAAGAAATAACTGAGCAAATGGGTTATCAACTGAGAACACCACAAAGAAACACTGTGTTTCTCCAGAAACACCAGTCAGTAAAGACTAAATATAGACAAAATCTTTCTGCCCTGGACTGAGTACACAGCCATGCTGGTTTTATGCCTCTCCACTCACTCCCAGCCTCAGACAGCACCTGCATTGCTCGTCCACATAGCATTTCGCTGACAATTCTGGCAAAAGCCAGGCTACTTCTCTCAGGACCACTTGCAGAACTTCTGTGCAAGTCACCAGGGCACAGAACATTACAACCAAGCATGTGCTCAAAATAAGCGAGCATAACTGAAAGTTTAGTTTGAAATTCGGTATGATCAGTATGAATACATTACAAGAGGAAAAGGAAATAACTGGGGATACTGGTTGTGTTATTTCAAATAGAAATCCCCCCAACACTTCTCACACAGTCAATTAAGCACACAAAATTGAGACTAAATCCCTCCCCCTCTGGAAAAAGAAGGAAAGTCTACAGCAGAGGTCTTTGAGAAGATCTGTATCCTCACCAGATTTCTATCATTGTCATCCCAGGTTTTATCCAGCTCATAACGTATTTCCTCACTTGTCTGTGTGCTTCTGCAGCCTCCCGAAAATCATTCCAGATTTCCTCGCTGGCTTGGTCTAGAGCTTTCTTTTCTTCGCTAGTTGTTCTCCAAGCAGCAGTTCGCCTTCAAAATAAATAAAGCATGTAATGAAAAGTTACTATCATCACAATAGTGATTACAACTTCTGTCTAAAGCCTGCAAGGCATTTATTAACCAGGCCTACACTCCTACACACTTCTTTGCAACAGAAAAGATCCTGATTTATAAAATTTGCAGAATATAGGAAGCTTATAAAAATCTATCAGCACCACAGAATGGCACCTGTGAAAGGCAGTAACATTGCATCAAAAAAAAATTATGCATACATAGAAATTTAACTCAATTAGACCATAAACCATATTATTCCCTTTACAGTTTCAAAAGCCTTACTTCCCAGCCCTCCCAAAAGCCCAGAGAAGCAGTGTGCTTGCAGGATGGATAATACTTTTCAAAAGACAGGATAGGCGTATAGAATTCATATCAATGCCTGCAATTTTACCTTGAGTTTAGCAGGGCAACACGTTCTGCTTGTGCAACGAGTTTATTTTTTGCACAATCTTACCCTTTCAGACAGCGCTCTTCCTGTATGGAGAAGAATCTCAGCAATGTAATGTAGCTACTTGGCCCAGAAACTGTTACTGACACAGAGACAATAAGCTCCTTCAAAATTTAAGAGCTTGCAGTTCCAGTATTACTTTCACTCATCCACAGAATATTTAGATAATAACACCTAAAACAGTGCATTGTAACTATGACACATGACAGGAAGTTACTTTCTAAATTTGATGGATCATGAATTCACATTTGATCCAAGAGAATATCACTTATTTTGGCTCTTTGGGACATTCATAGAACAAATATGAGAATAATTTTCAATACAAGACTAAATATAAGATTAGTTTTGAATATTTTTTTATTACGCAAGAAACTACAACACTTAAGTTCCAAGAAAACAAACAAAAAAGTAATTAAAGCACTCCAGCAACTGTCAGAACTTAACTAAGAGACTACTCTTCTGACTACAAATACCCTTCAAATGGTGAAGCTGGAGCCCTGTGACAACTCAAAGAACTCCGCACATGCTACGCAGGACAAATACTACTAAAAACAATACATAGCTGCATATCCTGGTAAGTGGGTCATAAAAGAAAAGGGATGATCGACAAGATGGACCAAAGATGCTGAACTATGCCGAAGTTTTAATTTAGAAATTAACTTTTACCTTTGTGTATGTGAGCTGATTCTAAGCAAACAACTGAATATGCAGAGTTAAAGGATTACTTTTTGAAATCCAACAGTCTAGCTACTTACCCGGCTCCACTCTAAGAGTTTCCTTCACAGCCAAAAAGCAGGTATGAGTGAGCCAAGAGCCTATGCCCTGCAATTTCGCTGCATTTTGAACTGAATATTTATACAGTGTTAAGAGGCCTGCAATCCTAAAGTGGAGCTGAAAAGATAAAGAAGGGTAACAGGCTATTCCATAACATTTTTCTCAGGATGACATGGGGATCCAAATATTTTGAGATCATTTTGCTTGTTTCCCTTGAACATCCTGCTCCTTTTCAGATAAAGTAACAATAGGAGAAATCCCATGCTTACTGTTCTGAGCAGTTTTCTTGCTCCAACAGCAAGCATCATACATACTATTCTTAGAATTTGCCTTAACACTGGTAAATTTCACAAAAAAAGCAACAGGCTGTAACATCCAAGTCTCCTCACTGCACTTGGAAATTGGACTACTGCCAGCACAGTAGTCATGGCACAAGAAGATGGAAAAGGTGTACTGCAGAAAAGCAGTGGGGAGAGGGACTTGAGGATCCTTTCAGACTGCTCTGGATTCCAGCAGGGAACACCCTCTGGTAGCAAGAGCTGCTGACAGAGTTTGGGCAGCTGCTCTGCCATCCGTCACAGACTTAAGTGCAAACGCCAGCAAACTGGCAGGAAGCCACCCTCACTCTATCCTACTGTATTTCAGCATATACTCACTTCATGCAAGACAACTGGGGGACAAAACAGCCTCTAAATTAAAAAAAAAAAACTGTATCAGACCCAAAGCATTTTGCTCCAAAGCTGCACCACTGCCACCTGGGAGCTCAGGAAAGGAGGCGACAAGAAATCCTGCTTGGGCCTAAACACTTGAGGGCATGCAAAAAATTGATTGATCAGATAAAGGTCTCACAGCAAACACCAAGTCCTGCAACAGGTACATGAGCTTGCAAGCTTTTCTGAGGTCAGTTTCCTAATGTGCTGGATACCACATAAATCAGCTGAAGAAGTTCCCCTCTTGCTCAAGCAATTCATTCCCGTCTTTTCACTCCAGTTCACAGCCCCAGTTTTCACTAGTACAAATCTTTATAGGATTGTGCTGTAGTCTACATTTTCGTGATCAAAGAAAGTAACTCCCCCAGATTATTTTAACCCAGATAACAGCATGGGGCAGAAACAAGCAGGCAGGGACAAGAATTCCTTAATCCTGCTTTAACAAAATCAGTGTATCATGGAACACTGCTTATAGCTTTTCCACCCTCCCTGTCACATCATTTCAAATTCAGGGGTCTTCAATAAAAAGCACAAGCCTTCAAACAGAACTAAATACCTGAGACATAAAAATATCAAAGTTGTTTGTTGACTACACGAGAACTGATTCTCTGCAATTTCTCCCCTGAAAATTTAATGATACCCATTCAACTTCCTGCACAAAATACACAATTCTAGATTGATGAGAGTTAACTTTAGAAAGCATATCACTCTTTAAAAAAATCAAAAATAAAACCCTACTGACCTCACCATGAAAGAGAAGTGGCACAAAAATGCTTCACCAACATATAAAATGAAACTATTATTCAGAATAGGAAATACCCAAGCATTCATGTCAGCTACTAATTAAAGTAGCTGCTTATGTTAGGAAATGCTAAAGTAGCATCATAAGAGTTAAATATTTAAATCAGGAACAAAACTATGCATGTATTTGCTTAAGCGAATCATAAAGAAACCATTTCAGGTTCCTTAGAAGAGTATATTCTTTTTCCATAGCAGAACATTCTTGGTACAAAAAAGATGCCCCACTTAAATCCTGTTAGAAAAGGTGGTTTGTTTTTGTTGTTTTGTGGGGGTTTTTTTCCTTTCAAATGAATAGTAGCGAACCCAGAGTAAAACATTTAATCTTCAATAGCTGGATAGATAACAGAGGTGTCAAAATTGCGTGTCATTTGTTATTGAACTATGAACATGCTTAAGATATTTATAAGCTAATTTCCTGGATTGCTTAAATCACATCCTTCTGAATGTGTCATATGCATATACAGACACTTAACTCCTAAGCATGAAAGAGTCACTCCTGGACCAGCCGGTCAGAACTACCCTGTGAAAGTCCTTCATGAGCATGCTAATATGGTGCATACAAACAAGGCAGTCATTTGTACATAAATATGAGCACACCTTGTAATCAAATTGAAGTCATTAGAAAGAAGAAAAGGCTTCCTCAAAACCAAATTTTAATCTCATAAAAATGAAACCATATCATCTGTGAATATCTGAACACAATTTATAGGATGTACTAGACTCCTAACTATGTTGCTTACACTCTATGAGAAACAGGCATTGACTTTAAACAACCAATAAATGTTTCAAGGTAATTCGATTGTGGAAAAAAAAAAAGTCATTGAAAACTAAACAATGCTTTCAGAAATAGAAATATTTATCTGCACACACACACTTTGGTTCAAACTATTTTTTCAGAGCTTTGATTCAAAATTCCCTGGGAAGTTTTCAGTAATACTTAGTCTTTTCATTCACATTTTCATGCAATTCAAGCTAATTCCACACCCCACCCCTCGTAAAACATGACCTTCCACAACACTTCATGCAGGAAAAAATCAGGAAACGCAGTCAAGCTGGTATATCCTAGCTCCTAACAAAGCATAAGGAAAGTAGTACCCTATGAAAACATAAAGATGTAGATCTCTGTTCTAGTAAACCACTAGAAGCTGTTGCTTGTTTAGTAAAATTGCACATTATTCCCACGTCACTATGAATTATAAAAAAACCGTTTAGGTTATAATAACTATATATTCATACAAAGAGAAGCAAAGTGCAGAATACACCACTTAGGCTTTTAAATTAAACTGTCTCATACTCTGAGATTGCCATGTCTCTACACACACACACACACAAAAAAGAAAGTAACAAGCAGCTGACATCTAAATGCCTCCAAAACTGCTGCATAACAGTGTCTCATCTCCTTAAGTTTTAAACCTTCACACAGTGCTTATTCAGACCACATTTTTCTTACAAGCTGCCTTTTGAAATCCTGTTGGTCCCCTGGGTCTCAAGGTCCCCTGTCTCACAGCAATTCTGCTCACACAGGCTGTACCTTAATTAAAAGAGTAGTGAAGGAGGAATATTTCTGGCCTGAAGACTTATACTTATTAAGTTCTCAGATAATCCAGTTGGAAAAAAAAAAAAAGGAAAAAAAAAGGAAAAAAGCACATTACAACTCACTTTGTTCATTTAGTTGTACATTAACAGTTCTGCAATTCAGCACATCCAGATGGCAGCATTTATTTTTTAAGCTTAAAACACTCACCCATCTTGTGTTGGTGGGTATTCACATTCTTCTCCCTTTGGGAATAAGTTGCTGGGAAATAGATCACATATTGGAATAGAAGGTGGATCTGTCTGGACCTTAGCTGTTGAGTATAATTTAAGAAAGTTTTACATACGGTACACTGGAAATGCTAAGTATTTTATTTCAACCATAAAAGCTGAACAGCACAAGTTATTTAAGATCCCCTTACTAAAATTTGGGCTTTTACCACGACAACATCATATCATGATGCCCTCGTATGACTTTATTTGGCCAACACTCAAGGTGGCATTCAGGGATACCAGAAAGAAGAAAACACAGCCAGACTTGGCCTACAAACGAAAACTGCACCCCAAAATTTGTTTCGACTGCCAAGAACAGCACTTACACATGCTTATACCAAATATTCATGGAGTCTATCTTTATTTTTGTGCCTGATACCTACGTCCTTTCTTCTTTTTCTTCTTCTTCTTCTTTTTCCCTGTTGCTCCATCTCCTTCACCCTCTCCATCTACAGGAAAGAAAGCGCTCATGTGAACATAAAACAACCTTAAAGAACCAAAGAATTTTGAATGAGACACAAAACCATCTGGACTATCTGGAAAGACTTCTTTCACAGCAGAATTTAATGGATTAAAAGATGACAGCTAGAAGCTGCCACCAAACCACTAGCTCTTTCAGTCCTTACACCAAACACAGACCTAAGAAAATACTTTCTAAGGTTGATGACTTAAACATATCACCGAACAGAGAAGAAAAGCAGCTCAGGGAAAAGGGTTTCCAGAAAGTCCTACTTCAAATTCCTCTACATTCAATTCACCAAAAAAGATGCCTGTGGTTGGGAGAAGGCGCGAGAGAGAACTGTATTAGACACAACAGCTAACAAAAAGCTAGGAACTACTGCTTCAAACCCGTCTTATGATGCTTCAGCTAAAGGAACTTAATGCATCTGGAAAGATAAAAAACCCAAACAAGTAAAGATGACAGCACTTAGGTCAGGATGAGTTTAATCTGGAGGTAACAGGAAAGTCACAACCAGCACTGAGCAAAACCACTGCGTGTGGGATGTATCAGTGGGAGATTTTCAGAGAGCACAGCATGTCAGCACCAAGAATTGGCCATACCATGTTACAGTCACCTTTTGGGGCTAACAATAACCCTGTGGACTTCACGTTTGGCTACATCTGATGCTTAGTTACTTCATACTCAATGAATTATTTATCTAATGTGATACCATCTAACTAAACCCTCTGGACCTAACCACAAGTTCATTTCATAAATGGCTAAGTACCAGTCATCTACGTTTAGAATATACGTTTTTATCTAAAGCGAAAAGTAAAATTGAAAGAACTTTTAGAATCAAGTCAATGCACTGCCATTCTGAACGCATTTATACAGAAACTTGTATTTGCTCATTTATTTAAAAACAAAACCAAACCAAAACACTGACCAGTTGTTCCAGTCACTAAATTTCAAGCCTCTCATGCTTGTCAGTGTCATTTCCATTTTTATGTCATAGTGATTGCTGTAACCCTGCAGCTGGGGCAAATTTCAGTCATGTGTCACCCTCGCCCCTCCCCAGCTCATTTTGGCATTAAGTATCTTATTTTAAATTCTTCCAAAAAATTGCAAGTATAACTTGTAGTACAAGTGTACCTACAATGTAGTCCAGCCTACCAGATTCTCCATCAATCTGTATTTCACAGGCAGTGGAAAATCCTTAACAGCACATATACATTTCTTTAAAATGTAGTAACTTTGCCACATTTCTCTTGACCTTGAGCTGTGCTAAAACCATTCAACATGAAATGAATTAGCCAGGACTCCAGTTCATTCACCATGTGATTTTTGGATTTTTTTTTTTTTTTTTAAACACTAGGCCTAAACTGCAAAAAAAGTACAGTGTTTCTTCAATGTTGTTGCTGTTGTTATCTGCTTATTGTGGCTTTTTCATACATCACTGCACATGAATCTGCCAACTGCAAGCCAAACTAACCAGCCTATGCTTTCACGTCCTTGAAGACTGTGCTGCAAGAAACATAACTACTACATCTGACCAGTACCCTCTTTGTCTTCAGGTTACTTAGCTGGTAATGAAAAAAAAATTTCATCGGAAAAGCAAATTAAAATCTTTGCAAAACTGAAGCCCAACCTTATGCCGTTTTGGTATAGCTGTTTAATAACTTAGCCTAGCATAATGCAAAAATGTTATCTATCAGCACATTTTAACACTGCAATGGAAATCTGAAGAGCACAGAATCACAGGGGTTGGAAGGGATGTCGGGAGATTTAGTTGAACCCTCCTACTAAAGCAGGTTCACCTAGAGCAGGCTGCATAGCACATCGTCCAGGCGGGTTCTGAGTATCTCCAAAGGAGACTCCACAACCCCCCTGGGCAGCCTGTTCCAGTGCTCTGGCACTTCCTAATCTCTCCCAGATTTCAAAAGGTATACAGTCTCATTTCTGATGCTGCTCAGTTATGGGCTTATAATGGAAAAAAAAAAAAAGGGGGCTATTTAATCTAATGCAGCACCATGTCTTAAGCAACACCTTTGAAACTACACAATTGAGATGACAACTGCTGAGAGTCAGTACAAGCAAGAACACACAGGTGTCTTTAAAAAAAACTTAGGGCAATTTTTATTTTTCTGCAAAAATATTACTGTTTTTCTAAAAACACATCCACGGTTAATATGTGGAAAAAAGGAAGATTATTATTTCAGTGATAGCACCAATTCTTTTTGGTTTTTTTACTTTCTAATACTGTAATGCTAATTGCTAATACTATAAAAAGCATAAAAGAACACCGCACTTGATCTGGACTAACAATGTTATTTCTCCTGAGATGGAACTATAACTTTTCTAACGATTTTCAAATAATTTTTTTCATTGTATAAAGTTTTCACTGTCCTCCTCCATACTTCTTAATTTAGTTGCAATGACAGAAAAGCACGTATTTTGTTAATTAACTTTCAACTCCATAACCTGAAATATACCGTAAAGGAATCCATCAGAATGTACTTCTACAGAAAGCACTTCCATAAAACTGGATGCTACATATAAATTTATCTTTAAATAGTATTAATCTATTTGTAACTTTATATATCCCAGAACACTTATTTCATTTTTTTTAAACTTCTATATCTAATTTATTAAACTAAATTCTGGAATGATGAATTCCAGCAACAGTCAACTAAGAAGATTTCTAAGCAGAACGGTAAGAACCATTTTAGGGTGCTAAGCCAACTTCAAATGCTAATTCACAAGAAGGAAACTAAATTGCTAACTTGAGAAATCTATTTTCTTAAATGTCAATTTCTATTGAGAACCACTCATCCAAACAAAGGAATGATGGCATTTTTATCTGACATCCCTGCAGAAAAGCTGCATCCAGCCTGGATTTCAATACCAGACACTTCCAAGGCACTTCCTTAGAACATCAGCTGCACAGAACAAGCAACACCCAAGGTGTACGCCTTGACTGTGTATTAATCTCTCCCCAGTTCAGTTTTAATGAAAAACTAGTTTTTTCAAGTCACTGGTAAAGACTCTAAAGACATTAATTAAAATGCTCCCTTAAAATTTTCTCTGTATTTTTTCTTCTAAGCCAAGAATAAGAGACATAATTCAGAACATAAATTTATACTGACCACGGTAATACAACTGAGAATGATTTATAGCTTACCTTATCTCAAACTAAACATTTCCCTGCACTAATAAGATCCTTGAAAACAAGTAGCTCAAACAAAGAGCTGTTATCCCTGTTATTTTATATATATATGCTTGTGTGACAGCTAAATTGCTGCCAAAAAAGTAAAAAGTATATATAGTTGCATCTCAGCTCTCTCACGCCAAAGAAAAAAAAAACCAAACCCAAAAGGCATCTGAAAAGGTTTGTTAAAATGGGAGTCTAGGAAGAAGTTGAAACTGGAAATGTCAAGAGAAAAAATAAGTTACACTTGCCTTCATCATCATCATCTTTTTCCTTCTCCTCCAGTGCTTGTTTATCCAATTGTTTTGCTACATCATCAAGAGCGCCTTCCATTTCTTTATCTGTTTCTTGTCCTGTTTGTAAAATTAAAATATGACTTATAGTAAAAGGATAGCTCCACATTAGCAAACAACAGCCCCCAAAATCTGCAGAAATGTTTTGTGGTAAAAGCGGATACCAGAGCACGTGCTTTTTTTTTTTTTTTTTTTTTTTTTTTTTTAAAAGCAGACCCAAAGACCCAATGTATAAGATTGTAGAAGATTGTAGGACACTACTGTGACAGGTTATTGAAACTTGCATGTAAAGGTAGCATTATCCCGACATTTCTGATTACTTTTTTTTTTTTTAATCTACCAGGCTAACTAATTCTTCTTGCCATAGCAGCAGCCTGCTCTTGTGAGATAATATGGGCGTGAAGTAGATAATTATAAACGCACAGCAGGATCATCACTAACTGCTAGCCTGCTAAAACAAACCCAAACCGTAGTTCCTTGACACTATTTGCCCAGACTTGCTCCGGCTCTCTCGGGAGAACTCGGGAGGGGTACAGAGACTCCATCATGCGGGATGACTTTTACAGCAGCAGTCTTGCGCCTTTCCCCCTCAGGGCACTGGAGGGGATGAGAGAACGGGTGGCTTCTCCTGCGCGCACCGGGGCAGGGAGGACTTCCCTCGCCCCAGCCCCCCCGGTACCGGAGGGCAGCAGCA